AGTTGGACATGACTGAGCGACTTCAATGTCAATGGCAGGCTGGTGGTGGATCTTCCCATTTCTGCCAGGATGCTGAGTCCAGATTGAGGCAGCCAGGTTTTGCTCATTCCGGGGGACATCTAACCGCCCTGAAGGAGGGTGGGAGAGGACCACCGTGCCTTATCAGTGGCCCCTTCTGGGGCCTGCCAGGACCCCTCTGCTGCATTCAGCAGTTAGGGCCCAGGGTCCTCAGCATTCCTACTTCCAGAATTTAACTTGCCCAGCTGTCCTTCTCATCTCACCGCCCCCTCCCGCCCCCACCCTGGAAGAAGCGTGTCCCTGACCCCTGGGGGTGACTTCCTTCCCTGGGGAAGAGACAGGCAGGGGGAGACTCGCCTCTTCGCCTCCCACCAGTTCACAGTTAAGCAAGTTCTGACCCTGAACTTCTCCCCAGTACCCCAGCCAAAGTCTCTCTTCTTTTGTGTGAGCAGTATCACTTTTACCTTTGTTGACTCCCTGGGCAAGGGAAGGGGTGCCCTGGAGCCCTGGCCTGGCAGCGGGCGCTGTGGATGGTGGCAATGGGGTAGAGAGGGGTAGCGTGGGTGAGAAGTCTGGCTCTGGCTCGATCTCGAGAGATCTGTTTGAATCCCAGCTCTGTCGCTTTCTAGCTGAGTGACTCTGCACAAGTGACTCAAGGGGAAGTCACTTTCCGGCCACACGGGTAGAGCACCTCACCAGGCTGTTGTGCTAATCAAATGAGCTTGGACGGAGGAAACCCAGCATGGTGCCCAGCGTGTTGAAGATACTGTGGTCACCCCAGCCGCTGTGCTTTTCCTGGGGGACTGACGCTGCAAGACTTTGCAATAGGGTTGGCGACTTTCCTAGCTTCATGCCCCTCACCTCAGGACTGGATGGGGGTTACAGCTGGAGTGGCAGCAGCTGCCAACGGATTTGTTAAGACCTCTGCGTGCGTGATTAGTCACTTCAGTTGTGACCCCATGGACTATAGCCCACCAGGCTCCTCTGTCCATGGGATTCTTCAGGCAAGAATACTGGAGTGGGTTGCCATGCCCTGAAACCTCTAGCGGAAAGCATCCAGCCCCAACCCCAGGTGCCCACCAGGGCCTGCTTATTCAGATGTTGATTTCTGTTGTGCGTCCATGACTAGGACTTCTAGGGAAGACCTCGTAGTGGGAAAGGAAGACAAATCCAGCCTAGAAGCCCGAAGACCTAGGTTCTAAGTCCAGTTCTGCTTCGGTGACCTTGGCAAGGGTTCTTATCTTTCAATCTGTTTACTGTGTAATAAAATGAGATGGTTGGGCTAGGGAGGGCCTCAGCTACCTTCTGTTGGTAGGCGTTAGTCTCAATAGCACAAAATACACCTACCCTTTTTTTTGTTTATTTGGCTGCACCCGCTTTTCACTGTGGCATGTGGGATCTTCAATCTTTGCTGTGTCCTGCGGGATCTTTAGTTGTGGCATGCCAACTCTGACTTGTGACGTAAAGTTCCCTGACCAGGGGTTGAACCTGAGCCCCCTGCATTGGGAGCTCGGAGTCTTAGCCATTGGACCACCAGAGAAATCCCTATCCTTCTTTTCTATGGAGAGTCTAAGGAAGCATCCAGGTGCTTACTCGGTTCTTGACTGCTGTTGTGTGTGCACAAGTAGGACAAAGATACAGAGAGACCTGAGGGCCCAGAGAGGGTGCCTGTGCGTGCACACACTTGTGGACACCTGCTCCCCAGGTAACGATGGGGTGAGCTAAGAGCAGGGTGGGGTCCCTCTCTGGTCAGGGTGGGGCCTAGCTGCTGGGTGGCCTGGTTCTTCAAAGTCACCCCAGACTGAATGGGCCTAGTCTTAAAAGAGGGTGGGGGGAAGGGAGGGCTGTTGGCACCTGGCCTCCACACACACACACACACACACACTCACATGCACACACATACACACTCACATAAAGGGATGCTTGCCCACAATCCCAGGGAGCATGGTTCTGCCTTGCTGGCATAGTCTTAGGACTTCTGCCCTCTTGGGAATTTCTCTCTTGTCGGGAGTCTTGGGCAGAGCAAGACCACTTCTAGAGTTGGAGAAGGATTGGATTTTATTTATTAGCGAGCCACGAGGCATGCAGGACCTTTCTTCCTGACCAAGGATCAAACCGGTGCCCCCTCCAGTGGAAGCAGTGGACCACCGGGGAGGTCCCAAGCCCTGTGCCTTTAGAGCCAAGATGGGTACCCGATAGGATCTAATCCTTGTGTGATCTGAACCATTCCTGGCGTGACCTTAAGTCATTTATGCTCTCCAGGAACCTGGTATAAAAATGAAGGGTTGTAATTGGGGAGGGGAGGGAGGCTCAAGAGGGAGAAGATATATGTATAATTATGGCTGATTCGCATTGTTGGATGGCAGAAACCAGCACAACATTGTGAAGCAATTTTCCTCCAATTAAAAAACAGATTTAAAATAATGAAGCCTTAGGGATGACCCAGTGACTCCCAAGATGGCTGAACTGGGAATCGATCTAGGTTTCAGTTTTGTTGTGACTTGGTCTTCATTTCCTGATGTAAAACAGAGGTAGCCACTACCAGCAATCAACGTGCTAATCCCAGGGGTGGTTTTGAAACACTCCTCAGTACTTTCACCCACTAAGAGAAATGCAGGATCTATAAATAATCAGCCGTGGCTCTCGGGGATGAGGAGGTAGGGGAAGGGCCCAGCCTGAAACAGCCCAGTGTCGGGACCCCAGCCCCCATCTTGAGAACTTGGAGCTCTGACTGGCCTCCAGGCTCCATATGCAAGTGGCCAAACTACCTTCTTTTCCTCCTGGGCTGAGTTTGACTGCCACTTGACAAGGCTCCATCCTGGGTGAGGTAGGCGGACACCCCGTGTACCCGTGTGTTTATGGGTGTGTTGATCTGTATGTGGCTAAAGGCTCGGGTGACCTATGCCTGGGTTCCTATCCAGAGTGGCCACTTTCTGCCTGGGTGATCTTGAGCGAGTGACTTCAATTTTCTGAGCATGCCCCCAACCCCCTCCCGCTCCCCAGTGTTTCAGCAAATAAGAGCTATGAGGAGGACCTACTTCAAGCTAAGTGCTTAGTTTGGTAAGCTGCCTGGATCCTGCCGTTTCCGATTCTGCACCACCACCACCCGCCCGGCGCCCCCCCACCCCCGACCGCCGCCCCTGGGGAAATTTGCGGCAGGAGATGCGGATGGGAGCACAGGGACCCCGCCCTAGGTGCAGGCAGCTTGCGCAACCTCAGAGGAGCCATCTTCTGGAGCTGCCAAACTAAAGCCACAGGCACGGGCTGTGCGGGGGCTGGAATTCCAGCGCCAGCAGCTCCCCAGCTCCTGATTCCCGAGTCATGAAGTCATCCTTCACCAGGGTTTAACCCCTTCTCGCTCCCCACCCCCATGTGTACCAAGCGTTCAGCGGAGATTCTCCCTTCTGTGGTGGGAGGGGAGAAATCTCGCTCCCAGCCTGACCTCCCTCCCAGGAATCCAGCTGCCCCACACAGACACACAGACAGGGTGGAAGGAGACCCGAAGGTCTGGTTCCACCCACCTCTCCCCGGAAGCCTGGGCCTCTCCCACAGAGGGTGACCTTGTCTTAGGGATGGATGTTCCTTTCCAGGCCCGCTCTGTCACTAGCAGGTCTCCGCTGGGTGGAGGACAGCGTGGGGCAGTGAGACACGGAGCCTGGCCTCTTTCCTCTCTGAGTGTGTAAGCTGACTCACCGTGTGACCTTAGGCAAGTCGCTGTAGGAGGGCCTAGATTCTTTCCCTTTCTGTGAAATGGGAGGGCAGGACCTCCCTGGCCTCCAGCTGGTGTTCTGCCGTCCTGAGCAGACCCCGCCCCCCTCCACACCTCCTGCAGTTAGGGGGTTGGGGGGGAAGAAGAATGTTTGGGGCTAGGGGTTTGTATTGACCTTATTCGCCACCCTGACTCTTCCGGGAAATGGTAGTCACTTGAATATTTGAGTTCATTAGTGAAAGAATGAACTTTGCCCCAGGGCTGCTGTTCTTGTGGGCAGACAAAGCCTCAGCCCAGAAGCTAGCTGGGAGGGTGGTGCAAATCCCAAGTATTTCTGACTCTCTAGAAGGAGCTTTGTTTTCCCTCAGCTTAATTTGCGGGTTTGGGAGCAGGGTGGCTGATGTTCTGCAGGTCCTGGGGCAAGCTCGCTGCCTTCCTGGATCTTTCCTACTTTCCTTGTGAAAGCTTCTCAGTGGCGGTGGACCTGAGATTCTAGCTGGGGACGGCCGGGGCCCCCATCCGTGGCAGCGGAGGGGTACTTAGGGGTGCTGGAGCAGGTAGTCCGTGAGAGCAGGGACGGGGCTCCGCACCACGCGGCTGCAGAATGGCTCCGTGGGAGATGTTTGGAAGGCTGAAGACACGAGTGTGCTCACGTACGCTTGACTCACCAGGTTCCGGGCAGCGCCCTGACCCGAGGCTGTCCTGGGACGTGAGTGAGCCAGCCCTGCCTGTCCCAGCCTGGTCTGACTCAGCTGGGAAAGATGTTGGGGTCGGGGCAAGACCAGAGCCAGCAGCCCTTTCCCAGCCGTGGGTGAATCAGCAGTGACAGCATCAGAGCACCCCGGAGCGTGGACGGGGAACGCTGGCTCTGAAGTCAGTCTTCACTCCATCTGCTCCCACGAGTCACCCAAAGAAAATGACTTAATGTCTTCAGGGCCCAGTTTTCCTCGGCTGTAAAACGGAGGTGAAGACTGGTCTTTAGAGTTATTAAGAGCAGGTCCTGGCCTATAGCAAGTGCTCAGTATAGGGTACCTAGCATATTTATATTCTGATTATGCCACCTTCATTATTTTTATTAGCCCAGAATGCGAAAGGGTTTTGTCTAAGGTCACACAGCAAGTTAGGAACCCAGCTTTCCAGGCTCTGGCCTGATACCCTTCCAGCACCCCAACTGCCCTTCCTGAACACTCACTTCACTGCCTTGCAGGGTTCAGGGGCTGCTAAAGAGCACTGGGGGGGCTACTGGTTGATGTGTCTTCTGTTTTCACCCTAGATCCGAGAAACTGAGGTCATCGACCCTCAAGACCTCCTAGAAGGCCGATACTTTTCCGGAGACTTACCAGACGACGAGGACGTCGGGGGGCCCGGGCAGGAATCCGATGACTTTGAGCTGTCTGGCTCTGGAGATCTAGGTACGGAGAAAGTAGGGGGCCGGCCCGGGGCTCAAGGCTGTAGGGAACCTGTCTTTTACAAGGGTGACCCCACTTTGGGGCTTGAATTTTCCTATTATGCCCCTCCCCGTTAAAAAAAGGAAGGGGGGATCAAAAGTAACTGGATCAACCCATCCCTGAGACCCTTTCCGGGTGAGTTGTTTGTTGCTCCGAGTCCATTTGTAGTAGAAAACCAGTCCGAACCTGTCCGCCTTTGGACAGGATTGGGTGGGAGTGGGCGTTGGGAGGAGAACTGAACTAACTGTGGCCTGTTTTCCTTCCTTTGAAAAGCAAAGAGAGCTGCGCAGGAGCCTGGGGGCAGGGTGGGAAGAGCCGGTGGGTGAAAAGCAAAGAGAGCTGCGCAGGAGCCTGGGGGCAGGGTGGGAAGAGCCGGTGGGAACCGAGAACCTAGCCCTGCTTCTGCCAGGATGGGATTGGGAGTCAGTGAACGGGCCTCCTGGGGCAGGGCCAGGGGCCCGTGTCTTTCTTGGTCACTTCTTGGCCCTGGCTGCCAGGCTAGACAGAGCTACTGGGAAGCCTCCCTCCTCTGTGTGGGGTGGTGTAACGATTTAAAGTTTGAGTTCTGGAGTCACATAATCCTGAGTTCAAACTGCCGCTCTGTGACCTCTGAGCCTCGGTGTCCTAATCTGTAACACGGGAACAGAAATGACCGTTGTGGATATTAGACTGAGTTAAAAGCCCTGGGCACTTAGCACATTCTCAGTAAATACATTCATATTGGAATTTCTAATATTTACTGTTGCAATCTAGAGTCTTCTCAAATGAATCCCCTGGGGATCTTGTTAAAATCCAGATTTTGATTTGGTGGCCCCTGAAATTCTGCATTTCTAACCCCTCCTGGGTGATGTTCTTGGTCCTGGGATCTATAAAGAGCAAGGGTTTGGAGCTGACAGAACATCTGCCCAGTGACCAACTCAGCATTCCCATGAAAGAACCAGGGAGGCAGGTCTCAGGAGCTCCATTTTACAAATGAGATGACTGAGACTGGTGTGGGAATGATCACCTGCCGGACATATGCCAGACAAATGCTCATCACCTGTTGAGCATTTGGGGGCCGATTGTGAATTAGAACTCCCACCAGCCATGGCTGTAAGGGTCATCGACCTGGGGGTGACCGACCTCACATTCACACGGCCTTTCTGACCTTACAGATGACTCAGAGGACACCCGGATCTTCCCAGAAGTGATGCACCCCTTGGTAAGCAGCCCCGCACTTTGGCCTCTCCAGCTCTCAGCACCTGTTGAGACAAGCAGAATAAATTTGGGTCTGACCTCATTCTGCAAGAAGGCCCTAACTGTGGCCCTAAACTCTTGGGACAGGCACAGCTAAGGGTCACAGGTAGACCTTCCTCTCTGTAGGGATAATCGCTCAGTGATAAACACTTGGATGTGTTGCCAGTCTCTTTTGCTTTTTTAATTTTTATTTCATTTATTTATCTGACTGCACTGGATCCCGGTTGTGGCCCTTGGGACCCTGTGAGGTCTTTAGTTGCGGTAGGTGGGATCTAGCTCCCTGACCAGGGATCACACTCGGGGCCCCCTGCCTTGGAAGGTCGGAATCTTAACCACTGGCCCACCAAGGCAGTCCTGCCAGCCTCATTTTTGTCTGCATTTCTAGGCATTTCCCAACATTAATATCAAGTTACACATACCGTTCTGTGTACTGTATTTTTCACTTACAGTGATCATGAGTATTTCCCCATGTAACTCACTGTTTCTCCTATTCATTTTTATAACCTTCATTTTATAACCTTCGCAGAGTTCACCCAGTTGCCCTATGTTTTATGATTTTTTGACATCCTACAACAACAGTATAACAAGCATCTTTTACACAGTTCTCTGATTAGCTCCTTAGGACAGAGTCCCAGAGGCAAACTGCTGCATTGAAGGGCAAACTGTTTCTACAGTTTTGCCAAACTACCCTCCAGGGTATTACTCTAGAACACCTGCTTCCCTGTGCCCTTGGTCACATTATTCATTCCCCACTGGGGATAGATTTACTGGAAAAGTTGGGCTTCCCTGGTGATTCAGATTGTAAAGCATCTGCCTGCAATGCAGGAAACCCAGGTTCAATCCCTGGGTCGGGAAGATCCCCTAGAGAAGGGAATGGCAATCCACTCCAGTATTCTTGCCTGGTGAATTCCATGGACAGAAGAGCCTGGTGGGCTACAGTCCATGGGGTCGCAAAGAGTCAGACACAACTGAGCAATTAACACACATAAGAAAAGTTGAGGGTAAGGATTTGACAGCGTGATTGTTGAGGGTGGTTGCTGATGTCTGCTCTAGGACCACATGGTTTGGCCAGCAAGAGGCAGAACCCATTCCCCACCTGGCTGAATGTCCCCACCCTCTGCCTTGGATCCCCCTCCCCACAAACCACACTGAGTGTTGGTCTCTTCTTTGCACCATCCAGGTCCCTATAGATAACTACATCCCTGAGAAGACAGGGAGCCGAGTTCCCACCGAACCCAAGGAACTGGAGGAGAATGAAGTTATCCCCAAGAGGTCGTCCCCGTTTGATGGGGACGAGGATGTGTCCAACAAGGTGTCCATGTCCAGCACAGCCCAGGGCGGCAACATCTTTGAGAGGACAGAGGTGCTGGCAGGTAAGGTCCCAGGCTTCCCACAAGATACCTCAAAGGGCGAGAGGGCTTGGGCAGGGATAGTGCTGCAGGCAAGGATGCCTCTGGCCCAGTGGTCCCTGACCTTTTTGGCACCAGGGACCAGTTTCATGGAAGACAGTTTCTCCACGGATGGGATGGGGTAGGGGTGATGATGGTTCAGATGGTAATGCTAGTGATGGGGACAGGCAGATGAAACTTTGCTTGCTCACCTGCTGCTCGCCTCCTGCTATGCAGCTAGCTGGGTTCCTAGTAGGCCACTGACCAGTACCAGCCCAGGGGTTGGGAACCCCTGCTCTAGCCCATTAGGTGATTTGGTACCCCTTCTTTGCAGCCACTGGGTGTCCTGGGGCCTTGAAGGATGACCCTTCCCCTTAGAGGTGGCTCTGACTGTGTGTGCAGCCTGGCGGACCGAAAGCAAGAATTGCATATCAGAGGCTAAGAAAATAATAGATGTTGAGTCGTTCACTTGCTGTAAATCCTTTTCTATTTACAAAGCACTTTCCCAGCCTGGGTTTGGCACCTGGGATGTTAATTATTAAAAGTTAAACTTCCCGTGAAAACTTCCCCTTTAAACCCAGAGGCTCCTTTGAGTTGGGCTGGCTTCCCCTCCGCCTGCTGTCACCTGGCAGCCTGGTGACCTTGGCTGAGATGCTGTCCAGCCTCAGTTTTCATATCTGCAAACGGGCACCGTGCTACTTCTTTGGGTTGGTGTAATAACTTTTTGTGGAAAATAGAATCTAAAATAACTTGGCGAGGACTGCAAAATGTTCGTTTGCACGGTTCCCAGTGGTAGATGGTGTGTGTGTTAGTCCTTCAGTCGTGTCCAACCCTTTGCAACCCCATGGACCGTAACCAGCCAGTCTCCTCTGTTCATGGAATTTCTCGGGCCAGAATACTGGAGTGGGTAGCCATTCCTTTCTCCAGGGGAATCTTCCTCACCCAGGGATCGAAGCCAGGTCTTCTGCATTGCAAGCGGATTCTTTACCAGCTGAGCCACAAAGCAAGCCCAAGAATACTGGAGTGGGTGGCCTATCCCTTCTCCAGGGGATCTGCCTGACCCAGGAATCAAACTGGGGTCTCCTGTATTGCAGGCGGATTCTTTACCAACTAAGCTACCAGGAAGCCCCATAGTATGTAGTATAGTATAGTATATGGCATAGCATAGCAAATAGTAGGTGGCCTGCAGGGAAACATTCTGTGCCAGGTTAAGAAACCAACACTTAGAGTACGTTTGGCCTCAAGTGGGAGCCAGGGGCTTCCTGACTAATGTGCCATGTGGGGAAAGATGGGTCCCAGAGTGAGACTTCAAGGATGGCTCTGTCTAGCCTGACTATGGGGCCTTCGGCTGGGGTGGTAACTGGCTCTTTCTCTTCTTCCCTGGCAGCTTTGGGGGTCTCCAAAACTGGGTTGGGGACTTTCTCAGAGGGGACTCCCTTTCTAGCCAGGTTTTTACAGGTCAAGGGCCAGTCTGGATGAACCAGCCTAGTGAGGGGGGCACCGTGGTGCAGGCTGGCTTACTCCTGTCTCCTGGCAACCAGCTGGGCCAGCAGCTTTGAGGCTGTAGGTGCAAAGAAAGAGCCCTGGGTCCTGCCTCCCTCCAGGACAGCTAAAGGATCTTGCCTGCATCTTGCAGGTTGTAACCCCCGGTGGGCCCAGCTCAGCCCTGACTCTGGCTTCCAGGTCCCTGAGTCAGTGTTCTTTTAACTTTCTGTGTGATGTGGGTGGGGTAGGGAAACTAGAGGGCGCTTGGAGACATTTTAGTCTTGTAAGTTTCAAACTATTTGGTGGAAGTCTTTTGGAGGTAAAACCCAGCCCATCTTTCTTCACCCACAGAGTTTCACTTTTAGTTGGTGGATGTGGGATTAGCATAAGGTTTTGCTTTCACCAAACAATGGTTCTGCTGCTTTTAAAGAAAAATGTAAAAACCACTGATGTAGTCCAAGTAACTGTTTCTTATAACATGGGCGATTCAGGCCTGGAGAAAGCAAGCCACTTGCTTTAGGTCACATAGCAAGTGAGAACCGGTCATCTCTTAATACTTCCAGTGGCGAATGACACGTGTGTAAGATCTTCATCTGAAAAGTTACATTGTTGAGATAGCTGGGATGAGCTCCTCCATTCCGGTAGCTTTTAAACAGTACCTGGTGGGGCGGGGGGGCGGTGGAATTCCCTGGTGGTCCAGCGGTTAAGACTCTGCACTTCCACTGTAGGGGGCACAGGTGCTATCGTTGGTGGGAGATCTAAGATCCTATAAGCTGCACAGCACAGACAAAAAAAACCCACCCTGGAACCTGGGAGTTTATCAAGTGCTTGCCATGTGCCATATGATTCACACGCCCCCTCATTGAGTCCCCACAACACCCCAATCCAACACGTATGGTTATCTATGCTCTTACAAATAAGGAAAATGAGGCTCCAAGAAGCCTTATCTCTTATCCAAAGGCACAAGACCAGACAAATGGTGAACCTGGCATTGGAACCTAGGACCACAGTTGCTTCTAAGACTGTCCTTGAGCCTTGAGCTTCTGGGGACTCCCAGCACAGACCAAAGGTCTAACAGAACAGACATCAGAGGGAGAGGCGATAGAAATGGGAAGGGGGTTTGATACCTGATGGTCCGTGTCTTTTCTCTGGTATTTCCTGGGGGCACTGTGTTGCTGCTTTTTCAGCCAAGAAAGGACCTTCCTTGGCTCCCCTGCCACCCCGTCCCCATTCTGTGCATAGATTTGGAGTGTGTGCAGGGGTGGAAAATTAATCTTCTTAGGCTAAGACCAAATTAGGGGACTCAATCTGTCACAGGGAGGATTCTAGGAGACATCTCTGCCCCCTCAACAAACAAGAGTGAGCCCTCCAGGCTGCCTGGGGTCATACAGAGAGCATACGTTCACCCGATGTGAGAAACCCGCGTCTGCTCTTGGCCAGTGCTCCTCTCTGAGCCAATCGGAGTCATTTATTAAGCACCCACTGTTGTGCCAGAACAGTTCAGGGTGGCAGGGACACAGATACAAACCACAGAAAGTCACAACTAATGAATATTGAGCATATGCTATACATTGTTCTGAGCTCTCTTAAGGGGATTCATTTATTTCAATCTAGGGACAAACCTATAAGAAAGGTACTATTGTTTCCATTTTACAATGAGAGAGATGAAGGAACTTGATTATTTAGATCCCATTGCCAGTAAGTGGCAGAGACAGGAATAGAATATAAGCCTTAAGCACAGAGCTTCGTATGTGGGGATATAAACCACGTGTATAATTTTTTTTTTTTTTTTGCTGCACCACACTGGAGAAGGAAATGGCAACCCACTCCAGTATTCTTGCTTGGAGAATCCCATGGACAGAGGAGCCTGGTGGGCTACATTAGTCCATGGGGTTGCAAAGAGTCCGACACGACTGAGCAACTTCACTTTCATTTTCACATGGCATGTGGGATCTTAATTCCCTGACCAGGGATCAAACCTGTGCCCCTTGCATTGGAAGCACAGAGTCTTAACCACAAGACCATCAGAAAGTCCCAAACCACATGTGTAATTCTTTATAGCATAGGAGTGTGGACACATGCACATGTTATAACTGTGTATAGTAGCATATACCCGCGTGTGTACAGAGTGTGTCCACCCGATCGGTATAAGTGTAGGTCTGCACAGGGATGTGTGCGTACAAGGTCAGCTAGAGAGCTCCGTGTGCTAAGGACTGTGGGGTAAGTAGGTCTAAGGGGATTTCCACAGCCTGCGATTTTTCTGCTTCCTGGCTCAGGGCTGAGCTGTTGCTGGGGAGTTGGCCTCGTGTTGGGAAAGAACCTGGCTTTGGACTCCAGCAATGTGGGTTGGAAGGATGCCTTTGTCACTCCAGTTCTGTGGTTTTTTTAGTGTTTTACAGTGACTGCCTTCTCATGAATGAGGTGGTGAGTGAGGATCAAATTCAGTAAGGCATCAGCAGGGTATGCCCCTGGGGGTGATGGTGAGGGTGTCCAGGGGTCAGAGGACCGACCAAGCAGAAGTGGCCCGTGTACCCTGAGGGCCTGACGGGCAGCCAGCTCTCACCTCGCTGCTCCCCTCTCTCCTCTGCAGCTCTGATCGTGGGCGGTGTCGTGGGCATCCTCTTTGCCATCTTCCTCATCCTGCTGCTCGTGTACCGCATGAAGAAGAAGGATGAGGGAAGCTACGACCTGGGCAAGAAACCCATCTACAAAAAAGCCCCCACCAATGAGTTCTACGCCTGAAGTTTCCCCTGGAGCACCTACTTGGACTTTAGGGGGAGGGGACACTGAAGGATTTTGAAGGGTGTTCGGGGAGGGGGAGGGCAACCCAGTCCTGATCTATCAGCCTCTCCCGCTCCGATTACAGTTTCAGTGTCAGAAGAGACATCACCTTCTACTGTTCCTGCTTGCCTCTTGATTCTCTGGGCCTCCACTGTCCCAGCAGAAAAACGGAGTTAAACTTGGCCTTTCTCAAGGCAAGTCTGGGGTTGGATGTTTCTTCATCTTCCCATTTAGAATCTAGGTAGGCCCAGCTTAGAGCCTGTACTGAACAGGTCCGATCCAGAGTCTTTCTAAGCTATTGTACGCGTCCTGCTGGAGATCAGCCCCCCACCTGCCAGCCTTCCCCTCCTGTCCCCCTTCCACAGCCTGGCCCCTCGGCCAGGAGCTGGGAGAAGGAACCAGAACCATCTATCTGCACCTTGAGATATGTCCATCAAAGGCATCTGCAACCACACTGTGGGAGTCTGGTACACCCTGGGACATTCTAGGCTCTTCCAAGTGACTTTTGGAAGTCAACCTTTTTTATCTGGGGGGAGGAGCTGAAAGTTCATCCTGAATCAGATTCGTAGAATATTCTTAAGTCTATTTTTAGTGGGGTATTTTTTTTTAATAGTTCATTCCTTTGTACAGAGCCTCTCTCCGTGGGCAAGAGTACACACAGAAGCTAAGGCTTTCTCTGCCCTCTTGCACCTTTCCACAGTACCTGCTAAGTTTGTATTTAATGGTGTTTGTGTTTTTGTTACTCGAAAATGAGAGAAGAGTTGGAGATATAATTTTTATTAATTTTTTTACTACTATTTATAGCTTCAGACAGGGCCTTTCTTTCCCTCTTTTGCCTTTTTTCTTTTTTCCCCATGTGTTTTTTTTTTTTAATTCTTCCTACTTCCCTGCTCATGACCTTGGCCCTTTCTGAAGCTGCTTCCTCTAAGAAGCTTTTGCTGAAATAGTTTTTTTTTTTTAGCAGATCCCAAACTATAACGTAGGGGATGGTGGGATATTTGTGTCTCTTTCATATAATATATTATTATTCTTCCTTGGTTCTAGAAAAATAGATAAATATATTTTTTCAGAAAATAGTGTGATATATTCCTGTGTGAAGTTGGCTGGGTGGTTGAGTGAGTGAATGTTTGCGGGGCTGAGTGGATTTTTGCCTCTTTTTCTGGTCCTGTTTCTTGGTGCCTTCTCCCGACTGGGCTGGAAACCTCTCTAGCTTTTGCTCTGAGCCCAGCTGGGGTACCTTCATTGGCGATCTCCAAATTTAAGAGAAGATCGGAGAGCTGTGCTATCCAACATGGCAAGTGCAGGCCACACTGAAATCAGTTAAAATGACAGGAAGTTAAAGTTCATTCCTCAGTTATACTGATCCACATTTCAAGTGCTCAGCGGCCACGTGGGGCCGGTGGCTGGTGTACCAGACAGACAAGTAGATCCCACTAGCATCTGTTAACAGCACAGCTCAAGAACTAAACTGATTTAATAAGTCACAGGCTCAGCCTGGTTAGGATGACCTTTGTCCCTCTAAAGGGGGACGGGGAGGGCTGATCAGGGCCTGGCTCTGGGGCTTATCCTCTCCTGAGAGGAGAGGCCTAGTGGCTCAGGCTGGCCAGGCCACATCTCCTGACCCCATGGGGAGACTGGGGGGAGTTACCCTTGCTTCCCTCCCCTTCTGTGACCCCAGGGTCCCAGCTGGCTGGGTCCTCTTCCTCCCCCCATGTCCCTTTTCCTCTGGCCATGTTGGGAGTGAGCACCTCACATTGTTGTCTGTTACTGATTTTTTGATAAAAAGATAATAAAACCTGGTACTTTCTAGATCGCCTGCCTTCATCATTTCAAAGCTCATCAGACGTCATCCTTTCCCTTGATCTCAGCGGATCCTGAGATAATTGCTGCCAGACCCCGGAAGGCAGAGATATATAAGAAGCCAAGAAAGGGCCAGGAAAGGAGGGAAGATGGCCTGCCTACCTCGGAGATTTGTTTAGGCGGCCCCATGTTTAAAAAACAAACACAGAAATCCTTGGATTCCTTGCCAACTATGGAAGTGAGGATGTTTCCCATAAAAATCCAGATTCCCTGTTTTTCTTGTGGGGGGGTAAGAAATCAAGAATTGGCAACTCAAGTAACCATGGGGAGTTGCATATGGGCGGGTCCCCACTTAGATGCAGGCTCTCTCCTTGCCAGTCTGTCCATCTGTTTTATCCATGTCACCTCCTTGGCCTCTGGGCATCATAGCTGGTGGTCTCTGGACAGATCGCATTGACACCTCCCTTAATCCTCATAACAACCCTCTGAGGTGGGTGAAAAGGGAAGTGTTAGTTGCTCAGTCGCGTCCTACTCTTTGCCACCCCGTGGACTGTAGCCTGCCAGGCTCCTCTGTCCATGGAATCTTCCAGTCAAGAATACTGGAGTGGGTTACCATCCCCTTCTCTAGGGTATCTTCCCAACACAGGGATCAAACCCAGGTCTCCCGCATTGCAGGCAGATTCTTAACCATCTGAGCCACCAGGGAAGCCCCTTTTGAGGTGGGTAAGATCCTTTTTACCAAGAGGGCAACCCAAACTTTGCTTGTCTGTGCAGACGTAAACCTTCATGCCGGGACTTGCACTTGAGTCCAAGTCCATGTCACGCTTGAATTTTGGTGGTCTTCCTTTGGTGCTTCATGGCCCAGTGGTTCACTGGGGTCAAGGAAAGGATGCAAAGAAGAATTGGTAGTAGAAGGAAACCCTCACATCACAAACGTGCGTGCCAGGAACCCATTCTGTCCTCTATACCTGCACCCGTTCAATCTTCACAATAATTCAACAAAGTAGGTGCCATTAGTAGTTCCTTCTTATAGATAGGGAAACTGCAGCTAAGAGGTTAAATAACTTGCCCAAAGAGACACAGCTTACCAACAGTACAGGCGGGATTTGAACCCTTGCAGTCAAGATCTGGAATTTCTCATCACTGCCCATCAGAGAGTTTATGTCACCCAGGGCCTCTTCAGGCTGCACTCCCTTTGAAGTAGGGAGTCTGGTTTCAGCTACCTCCTGAGGCCCATGAAGCTTGAGTGGGTCTCTGCACTTGCAACTGGAATCCATTATTTGTTTTTTGACTGCACTGTGTGGTATGCGGACCTTCTCTGACCAGGGATCAAATCCATGCCTCCTGCGGTGAAAGCTCAGAGTCTGGACTACCAGGGAAGTCTGCAACTGGAATCCTGCAGGAAACCCTCCCATCTGTTTTATCTGTGTTATCCAATCCAGTGGTCATTTGTCACATGCAACTATTTAAGTTAAAATTAATTAAAATTCAGTTCCTCAATGGCACCAGCCACATTTCAAGTACTCAAGAGCCACATGTAGCTGATGGCTATATCTATCTATAGAGTAGATATAGAACATGTCAAGTGTGGCAGGGCTAGGTTGGAGAGTGTGAGATTGGGTCAGACCCCACCCAGGACTTGGATTTCAGCTTCATTAGCCATTGTCTTGGTCTCCAGCATCCTCTGGGGTGGTAGGTCAGAACCTGGTCCCTAGGAAGCGCTCCATAAGTGGCACTTTATTCTCATTACAAGCACTTCTTTTGGGTTAGGTAGGTTCTAGGTTCTAGACACCCTGTATCTTTTATTGCTGTGTTAAATTGCCCCAAACCTAGGAGTTTATGGCAACATAAATATCTCACAGAGTTCCCACATTGGGCTTCCCTGGTGGCTCAGAGCTAAAGAATTCGCCTGCCAATGCAGGAGATGTGGGTCCCATCTGGGGAAGGAAACGGCAGCCCACTCCAGTATGCTTGCCTGAAAAATCCCGTGGACAGAGAAGCCTGGCAGGCTACAGTCCACGGAGTCACAAAGAGTTGGACACAACTGAGCGAGTAAACAACAAAAAATAGTTCCCGTGGATCAGGAGTGAGCTAGGTGGCTCTGGGGTCTCAGGATTGTAGTCAAATTGCTGGCCAGAGTGGCGGTCTTCTGAAAGCTTGACTGGGTTGGAGGATCCATTTCCAAGATGGTGCACGTGCATGTCTGGCAAGTTGGTGTTGGCTGTTGATAAGAGTCCCTTGCCATGATGACCCCCAAAGGGCTGATTTGAGCATCCCCTTGTCAGAGCAGGTGGCTTTTCCCAGAGAGTCATCTAAGAGAGCCAGGTGGAAGCTCAGAGGTTACACACTTTCATTTCTACTAAATCTCATTGGTCACAGGAGTCAACCCTATTATTCACTGTGAGAGGTGACTGCAGGACGTTAGGAATACCAGGAGGCAAGACTACTCAGACACCATCTTAAAGGCTGGTTCTTATAGTACCACTCCACAGGGTCAACTCCACAGGGGTTAATTTACCTGGAATGCTAACCTGGAGTGGAAACTGGTATATTATTTCTGAGAATTGGGCTGGGGATTGATTCAAAGCAGTGTTGGACAACATTGGGCCAGCTTTGTTCATGATCCTGCCAGTCTTCTGAGGCAGAGGAAGTGCTGACCCCTGGACAAGGAAGTTCCTTTCTGGGGTGTGGGGAGGCCTTCAGGCCAAACAGATTTCTCCTTGCCAATAATCTGTTATGTGGTTTGGGAGAGTCAGGATTCCAAGATGGCCCCCAATATTTCCTCTCTAGTATATATGACCTGTCTATTCCCTCCCCTTGAGTGTGGGCATGATCTCCAAAAATGATGGATGGGAAGGTCACATTGGGCAGCACAGGCGAAGGGGTTCTGCAGATGTAATAAAGGTTCGAAATTAGCTTTTGAGTGAGTAAAAAGGGACATTACCATGGAAAAGGAAATGGTTAACCCACTCCAGTATTCTTGCCTGGGAATTCTCATGGACAGAGGAGCCTGGCAGGCTACAGTTCATGGCATCACAAAAAGCTGGACATAACTTCACAACTGAACAACAACCACCACAACCAGGCAGATTTTGATTCAGGGAAATACTTCTTGATGGAAATGTGGCATAAAATGCAGAGTGAAGTGACCTACCAATATG